TTATTATTATTATTATTATTATTAATATGATTATTATTATTATTATTGGTGTTATAATTATTATTTTCATTATTATTATTATTATTGTTATTATATCATTATTATTATTATTATTATTATTAATATTATTATTATTATTATTATTATTATGATTATTATTATTATTATTACTGTTATAATTATTATTTTCATTGTTATTATTATTATTTTGTTATTATATTATTATTATTATTATTATTATTATTATTTTCATTATTAATATTATTATTATTATTATTATAAATATAATTGTTATTGATATTGTTATTTTTGTTATTATTATTATTATTATTAAAATTCATATTATTATTATAATTATTAATATTATTATTATTATATTTACCACTATTATTTTACTATCACTATTATTATTATTATTATTATTATTTTTTAATATTATTATTATTATTATTATTATAAATATAATTATTACTATTATTATTGTTATTATTATTAATATTACTATTATTATTATTATTTTAATTATTATTATAGTTAATATATTATTATTTTTATTATTAATATTATTATTATATTATTATTATTATTGTTATTATTATTGTTATTATTGTTATTATTATTATTGTTATTATTGTTATTATTATTAATATTATTATTATTGTTGTTGATGATGTTATTGTTATTATTATTATTATTGTTGTTGTTGTTATTGTTATTGTTATTATTATTGTTAATATTATTACTATTCTTCTTTTTCTTCTTCTTCTTCTTATTATTATCATTATTATTATCATTATTATTTTGTTATTATTGCTAGTATTATTGTTGTTGTTGTTGTTGTTATCATTATCATTATTATTATTGTTATTATTATAGTTGCTGTTATTATTATTAATATTATTATTATAATTAATATTATTATTATTTTTATTGTTATTATTATTCTTATTTTATTGTTGTTATTATTATTATTATTATCTTTAAAACTATTAATATTATTATTATTATTATTATTATTTTTTATTTATTATTATTATTATTATCATTATTATTTTATTATTATTAGTATTATTTTAATAATTATTATTATTTATTATTAATATTATAATTATTATTTTATTATTATTATTATTGTTATTAATATTAATATTATTTTTCTTATTATTATTTTTATTATCATTATATTTTATTATCATTAATATTTTTCTTATTATTATTATCATTATTATTTTGTTATTATTGTTATTATTATTATTATTATTATTATTATTTATTATTATTATTATTATTATTATTATTTATTATTTTTATTATTATCATTATTTTATTATTATTATTGTTATTGTTACTTTTATTGTATTATTATTTAAAATAATTATTGTTATCAATATTATTATTTTATTATTTTTATTACTATTATTATTGTTATTATTATTTTTATTATATATTTTAATTATTATTGTCATTATTATTTTATTATTATTATCATTATTTTATTATTATTATTATTATTGTTATTGTTATTGTTATTGGATTATTATTTAAAATAATTATTCTTGTCAATATTATTATGTTATTATTATTATTAATACTATTATTATTGTTACTATTATTAGAATTATATTTATTATTATTATTATTATTATTGTTATTATTATTATTATTTTGGTAACTAGCTTTATTAATTACCAGAACAGCATTACAAATTAAAGCAAACTATCACAGTTGCTTACATCTTCAGAAAAACTAACTACTCTTCCTCCTACGCTATTACTAGGCCTCATCACAACAATTACATCTTTGTATTTTTAAAGGAAATTCTAGCCATAGTTACACAAACAATTTCTTTTGCTATATTCTCTTCCTTTTTGCTCTTGTTTTCAAATATTCTGTTGTTTCTCTCTATCCATAGCCCATAGATTCCTTCTGTCAGCACAGTCTTGAACCTTTGAGCTGTAGCTCTTTTCCTTTCCCATTCCGAATACACCAGTTCTGAAATTGTTCCCACACCAATTGAACAGTGCTATGTTGATCTATACTATCCAGAATTCTCTTCCACACCTTCCTTGCATATTGGCATTGCAGGAACAAGTGCTCTGCAGACTCTTCAGCATTCTTACATAGAACACACTCTTTCCCTGCTTCAATTTCCCATTGCACTACTTTATCAACAGTTGACAGCTTTTGATGCATCATAATCCACATTATGATATATGCTTTTGGTCTTGCTGCATTCCTGTACATAAGACATGTCCAGGCTGGTCTTTGCTTCATTTCTTTCAAGTGATAGTAGATTTGCCTGAGCACTCCTTTCCCTCTGCTTGGTAGTTGTTGCACTTGATCAACTAGAATCTTTGCATTCATTATTTTCTTTACCATCCAGCTTGTATTGTTACTCATCCTCCATTCTCTCTGTCCTTTTATATAGTAGGCATGTATCCATTTCATCCACAACTTATCAGCTTTGTTTTCTAGATCCCAGCATAGCTTAGTTATTGCAGCCCTGTTCCATATTTTTATATTAAGCAATCCTAATCCACCTTCATGCTTAGGGCAGCATACTTTATCCCAAGCAACTAAGGCCTTCTTTGTTACATGGCTCACCCTTGACCATAGATAGCTTCTGCATAAACCTTCAATCAACTTGATTATCTTTGCTGGAATCATAAACAACTGTGCCCAGTAAGTCTGCATGCCAAACAATACAGTCTTGACTAGTTGAGCTCTTCCTGCATAAGATAACTTTTTTGCTGTCCAAGAATTGATTCTTGCCATGATTTTTTCTATAAGTGGATACCATTGAAGTGTAGTTAGTTTCTTTGATGACAAAGGTACCCCCAAATATTTGAATGGTAACTCTTCCATTATGTAACCAAGTTCTTGAACAATTTGTTGCCTCACCTCCCTCTGAATTCCACCACAATAAATTGAGCTTTTGTTGAGATTTGATTGCAGACCTGAGGCTTGAGAGAACTCTGAGAAACATTTTTGTATTGCCATTATAGAATTAAGATCACCTCTAGAGAATAACAGCAAATCATCTGCAAAACACAAGTGAGTTATATCCAGCTTTGAACACTTAGGATGATATTTGAAATTCTTCTCATCTTTGCGTCCTTTGAGTAACCTACTAAAGTACTCCATAGCTATAGTAAATAGGAAAGGTGCCTTTGGATCTCCTTGTCTAAGTCCTTTAGCAGCATCAAACCTTTGAGTGTTCTGACCATTCACAACAATTGTATAGTTCACTGTTTTAACACACTGCATTACCCAATGAGTGAATAGTTCAGGAAATCCCAAACTCTCCATCACCTGTTCCAAATATGGCCATTCTACTGAATCATAGGCTTTTTGCAAATCAATTTTTAGCATACTTCTTGGAGAAACATTCTTCCTAGCATATGCCTTAACCAGTTCATGAGCTAGGATT